TATTTGAAATTGTTGAAATCCTCACATTATGTTTATCATATAGCCGTTATGCGCTTACACGCGTCTGCGCAATAAGTGTATACATGTGTGTTGTACAATCGTCTACTTTAAATATTTATTTAACACGTACATAGGCTGATGTATTTATCCAAATGTCAGTCTTTATGATAAGTACACACTTTTTTGTGTAATATATTCAAGTGTCTGTGTTATAAGTGAATGGTTTATATAATTAATTTAATGTCTGTATATACTTATACATGCTTATGAAACAGATTTCAATGACTGTATTAAAAGAATAAACATTTATGTAATACATTTAGATGTGATGTATAAGCATACACGTCTGTAATAAAGTTAACGACCTTTTAAGTGTATACTTTTATATAATAGATTTAAATTATGTTAATAATTGATGTCAGTGTAACAAACATAAAATTATACGTACAGTGTACCTAAACACGACTTACATGTATCTATAAAAACCATTACATGTATCTGTACCAGACTTACATGTGTCTATACACAGACTTACATGTATCTATACACAGACCTACATGTATCTATACACAGACTTACATGTATCTATACACAGATTTACATGTATCTATACACAGACTTACATGTGTCTATACACAGACTTACATGTATCTATACACAGACTTACATGTATCTATACACAGACTTACATGTATCTATACACAGACTTACATGTATCTATACACAGACTTACATGTATCTATACACAGACTTACATGTATCTATACACAGACTTACATGTATCTATACACAGACTTACATGTATCTATACACAGACTTACATGTATCTATACACAGACTTACATGTATCTATACACAGACTTACATGTATCTATACACAGACTTACATGTATCTATACACAGACTTACATGTATCTATACACAGACTTACATGTATCTATACACAGACTTACATGTATCTATACACAGACTTACATGTATCTATACACAGACTTACATGTATCTATACACAGACTTACATGTATCTATACACAGACTTACATGTATCTATACACAGACTTACATGTATCTATACACAGACTTACATGTATCTATACACAGACTTACATGTATCTATACACAGACTTACATGTATCTATACACAGACTTACATGTATCTATACACAGACTTACATGTATCTATACACAGACTTACATGTATCTATACACAGACTTACATGTATCTATACACAGACTTACATGTATCTATACACAGACTTACATGTATCTATACACAGACTTACATGTATCTATACACAGACTTACATGTATCTATACACAGACTTACATGTATCTATACACAGACTTACATGTATCTATACACAGACTTACATGTATCTATACACAGACTTACATGTATCTATACACAGACTTACATGTATCTATACACAGACTTACATGTATCTATACACAGACTTACATGTATCTATACACAGACTTACATGTATCTATACACAGACTTACATGTATCTATACACAGACTTACATGTATCTATACACAGACTTACATGTATCTATACACAGACTTACATGTATCTATACACAGACTTACATGTATCTATACACAGACTTACATGTATCTATACACAGACTTACATGTATCTATACACAGACTTACATGTATCTATACACAGACTTACATGTATCTATACACAGACTTACATGTATCTATACACAGACTTACATGTATCTATACACAGACTTACATGTATCTATACACAGACTTACATGTATCTATACACAGACTTACATGTATCTATACACAGACTTACATGTATCTATACACAGACTTACATGTATCTATACACAGACTTACATGTATCTATACACAGACTTACATGTATCTATACACAGACTTACATGTATCTATACACAGACTTACATGTATCTATACACAGACTTACATGTATCTATACACAGACTTACATGTATCTATACACAGACTTACATGTATCTATACACAGACTTACATGTATCTATACACAGACTTACATGTATCTATACACAGACTTACATGTATCTATACACAGACTTACATGTATCTATACACAGACTTACATGTATCTATACACAGACTTACATGTATCTATACACAGACTTACATGTATCTATACACAGACTTACATGTATCTATACACAGACTTACATGTATCTATACACAGACTTACATGTATCTATACACAGACTTACATGTATCTATACACAGACTTACATGTATCTATACACAGACTTACATGTATCTATACACAGACTTACATGTATCTATACACAGACTTACATGTATCTATACACAGACTTACATGTATCTATACACAGACTTACATGTATCTATACACAGACTTACATGTATCTATACACAGACTTACATGTATCTATACACAGACTTACATGTATCTATACACAGACTTACATGTATCTATACACAGACTTACATGTATCTATACACAGACTTACATGTATCTATACACAGACTTACATGTATCTATACACAGACTTACATGTATCTATACACAGACTTACATGTATCTATACACAGACTTACATGTATCTATACACAGACTTACATGTATCTATACACAGACTTACATGTATCTATACACAGACTTACATGTATCTATACACAGACTTACATGTATCTATACACAGACTTACATGTATCTATACACAGACTTACATGTATCTATACACAGACTTACATGTATCTATACACAGACTTACATGTATCTATACACAGACTTACATGTATCTATACACAGACTTACATGTATCTATACACAGACTTACATGTGTCTACACGACGTTACTAGTGCACGTCCCACTATACAGATGGAGACCTGTATCAAATTAATTTGGCAGACAATTATTTACCCACGATACAGAAATATGTGAATGCATAGCGTGCTTTCTTATCTTATCCATCAATTTCCATTGACGCTTCCATAATTGATGTTATATATGTCCTGTATAATACATAGTAATTAAATCGTCTATATCTTTTACTCGTCGATATCATTTGAGCAAGTTTATACAATAATTTGAATCATTTCCGAGTTTATTTTTACATTCTGGTATTATTTTGGTGTAGTGATAAGCCAACTCGTACATTTATATAAATAACGCCTAAAAACATGTCGCCAGTCAATTGTGTATTAATAACTGGGATAATAGCTATGTGCTCTCGCTCGCCAACACCGATCTCAGCAACAGCGTTAAGTAGGGGGCGTGTTCGTTTCGATTATTAAAATTCTCTGGGACTGGTCGTATTCGAACGCAACGGAAAATGTGTCGCTTCAACCGTTAAGACGACCGTAGATTGGCGGTATATTAACGAAGTTTAATGATTGTGTGTTCTTTGTACACTGTACCTGACTAATACCTCAACATAATCATTGATTATCATTGGAACAGTTCGGCGTTTACTCGCCCTTAATTATTGATAAGACTAGAGTTCCAGTCAGTCGAATCAGCGGTGACGGAGTACTCGGGTGGATTCCGTAGACACAGGTACTACAGGTGCGCAAAACAGTCAAAACACGGTGACTTAAAAGGATACGAACCTAAGTAAGATTTTACAATGTGACTTTATATGTACACTATTGACTCATCCATGAAGGAGCGGTGACTTGTACGCGTACTGCTGCCTGGTGGTTTTATTTTTTAAGAAACAGAAAAAAACTTATATTCTTCGCGTTAAATTTGGAAACATCAATAGTAAGTTGCTTTAGTTTTACATGGCACTGTAAATTTACATCGGTAAGTTTAGTAGATCGTCCTCTAATGAACGTTGTTTATTCACCATGTAATGTCCGTTTCCGGTACACCTCGGGTTGTATTGTAGGTAGCAGTTATATAGCGCGAGGTGTAGTCTCCGTGTCTGGCACACCTCGGGAAGTATGCTACATTTGTAGGTAGTCCTTATACATATCGTGTTGTATACTCTGTGTTCGGTACACCTCGGGTTATTTCGTAGGTAGTCATTATACAGGACGCGTTAAATACTCCGTGTTCGGTACACCTCGGGTTGTACAAAATGTATGTTGGTAGGTATTAATTAAAATATAAACTATTTATTTTAATAGTTGTTTCAACTTAAATTAATTACTTTTGTTGGCCCGGATATGAGCGCGCGAGGTCTTATTGTGGGAGGCAACCAGAGTACCCGGAGAAAAGTAATGTTGTCTGATAGGTGAACCCATATCTTTTCACATCCGATCTGGAAATTCGAACCCCGGCCTTAATAATTATATAGGATGGGGTATATAATCTATGTTCGGTACACCTTTGGTGCAGCACATCTAGGGCAATACGGCATGACACCGTACAACTCGGATATTATCGTAGGTAGCAAACGGTAAGTCGCGTGTTATGGTTACGCGGTACACCTCGGATAGTATCATTAGATGGTTGTTGTATATTGCATCCACGATAAACGAGCAAGTACAACACAAAACGAGCGATTCTATATAAACGTGCATAATGTAATAATTACTATTAAACTATTGTAATAATTGCCACATTACATTAGTTAGTAAACACACTGTTACCACAGGGATGCTGTGAGCGGACCGCGCCATCTTACGTTATATAGCGCCGGACGTTCTGACAGTAGCATTCACTTCTTCAATAAACATCGTGACTTGAGTAGCATTTCCGGTTAAAAGACAGTTCCGCCCCGATTATCCGGTGATAAACAGGGAGACGGACTCGACTTATAGACAGTGAGACAGTATTGTTTAAACCTGTAGACGGGGTACTTTGTTAAACCTATAGTAGTATCACGTGGTGGGTTGATGAGCCGATAGGAAACCATCACAGTGACAGTAGTACCGAGCCAATGACAAAGCTCACAGATCGGTAGCTATGCGGGCCACGCGCTCTGTGCTAGTTGTCTTAGTGTAGGTATGCAGGTGTTATGATGGACAATTGTCATTATGAAGATTTTTACTTTTCATTTCTTCCAGAACAGAATGGCAATGGTCGTGGAATCGAATCGGTGAATATCTCATGGAAACAAATTAACTTGTGTGTTGCTTTTCACGTCTGAAGAGGAACGAGATTTATTAGACTATTTAACTACAAATCGGGAAGTGTGCATGCTCTCACCAAAAGGTAAGTCAACAAGTGTTTTATAACCGTCTATTTCTCCTTTATCTGCATGATAATAAAATATCGGATATTTTCCAACTGAAGGGAAGATTCTAGACTTAACACAGTTGGTTGGTGAACTTTTATTGCTGGACGAAGTTTTACTTGTATGTAAACAAGGCCGGTCATAGGGCGGACACATCTATTACTGTCTGCCCTAACTACAATAATTGTTTCTACAAAGGCAATCAAATATGCGCGTAACATGCATTGCTAACAAACATGTAAAGTGCTATTAATTACAACTTATGTGGCTAACATTGCACGTGCTGTGTAAACGCTGGAAGAGAGATATCAATTAGCGGTATATTTCCTTACAATGTATTGCTTCATTGACTACCTGTACAAAGCTCAATGTGGTCTCGTGGTTTCCTTTAGTATACGGAAAAAATCTCATTTTCACTCAATAACGAACATACCAATATTCTGTACGAACAAAAGCTGCGTATGGATTATATGAAAAGCACTTGCAGGTGGACAGACCGTTTATTTTATGCCCGCTGTTAGCTGCTTTGAAAAACTAAGAAAATGTTATATTAAGATTACTGAATATTTAAAACGTTACAAGTGATCAATTTTACTGCTAAGATAAATACATACTACCTGATATTTTTTACATTTTGTATGGCTTCTAGTTCGGCATGCTTGGTAGTATGGCCAGCGTATAAACAAGTTATTACAGATACCATAATTAATTGATGAATGGAGATGTTTACCGTCCTACACCTAGACCTACACATCATCTCATATCTACACTGCACGTTCATATGCACGTGGGAATACGATAGAGCTCGCTAGACAGGGGAGTATATCATTGGTTGCTTTTAAACAATTACTTAAATACACATGATATAAAAAAAAACACAAATTCTACAGGTATATGGTGTTTGCAGTGGTGTAAACGCCACTTCTTTCTGATCTACTTCAATCACAGTTGACAGTTAGATCTCAGTAGGTTTGGTGGTCGTTTTCTACATATACTATACAATAGAAATTTATTGCTGGGGAAATAGAATTACATTTTAGAGTGTTTTCGTTCTGGTCATTTTATAAAAAAAAATCCAACGTGTTCACGTATCATAATTACAAGTTCGAATGGAGTTTATAAGTTTTCATATATGTCTATGTTTGTTTAAAATGTACCTGTCAATTTATTTTCTGCTATAAATTGGATGTGAATGGTAACACAGATCAGTTTATATAAAAGCTTATTCCAGCATTACCTCAATTTAGCTTCAATTTTTCAATGGTAAGTTCTACTTTGGTACATTTATTTTACACCATATATTTCTGATCGATTTCAGAATAATGTTTAATGATCTTCTTTATTCAGCAATGGAAAAAAAGGTATTTGCCACAAATAAATTGCATATACATGGGCCTATGTAGTGGTACAATGTTTTTAATTTTAGATAACTATATAAAAATGTAAAACAGTGACAATACAATATCATGAGATCAGGGCGGACGTTACTCATGGTTAAATAAATTATTGTTCCATATCTCTTTCGCTTTAAAAATGAAAATATAATAACTTTACTTTTGGTCGTCGACGATTTTAATTCCAGAAACTGCCCTTCTAACAGAGGACATCGTCTTACTGCGCAAACAAATACAGATATAACGTTTGATGTATTTAGGATATTAATGCCGGGTCGTCGGTATTGTGGCACAATTATAATCAGTGCTCTATAATTGGTTAACTACAAGAAGTAGTCTCCAGCAAATGTTAAATTCCTTCTCACGGAATCGTCCGGTCAACATGATTCCAATAACACACCACAAAATCGTTGAGAACAGTACAGTATGTCTTACTACAACTTTGTCTGTAAAATAGATTACAAGCGGTTTTTAAGAAGAAGCGGTGAAAATTGTCGAATCCCATAGGTTGCTTACTTTGAACAATAACGCATTATCAACTAAACTTTAGTGAAGGTATTTAGTATATATACAATAAACTATCATATTTTCAATTTCAATCTTGACTGAGTTTTGAAACGCCGGAGATCGGGTTTGGGCTCGTAGACAGAATCGTGTGTGGTTTGTGTTGTTTACTTGAACGCGCGACAGTACCTGCTGTAGTGTTTGTGATAGATTAGTTGTCTTGTTGACAGATTAATTGTATCTGTATAATACAATACACTATTTAGATGTTTTAAGTTATATTTTGTAGTCAATTGATAAAAAAACACAATTTGACGAAAACGTTTGGCAGTTAAATAGGGTAGCTTGTTATCAAATAATTTATCCTAAAACACGAACAGTTCCAAACAAATTTGGCGTGGAAAAACGACTCACGTTTCTTAACTTAATTCACTATGAGAGATGACTTTCAGTACTTAAGTGTTGTCGGTTGACAGGACAAAATGCAATCTCTAATATCATGCAATATAATATTATGGAATTCTAACTGTCACTTTCCGTGGTAGCCGTGATTTTTTGTGAACTCCGTTGCCAGGCGGTTGTAATTGCATACCTTCTGTTTCTATTACTCGTCAATAAACGTTATTAGTTTTTATAAAATAACTTTATTGTCTACTTTCTTTCAAACATTAACACTAGTTCATGACCTTTACCTTGGAGGCGAAACAAATCTAACGTATAGACATATGTGAACAAGTATTCCCTATCGGAACAAATCGAACGTATAGACATATGTGAACACCTATTCCCTATCGGAACAAATCTAACGTATAGACATATGTGAACAACTATTCCCTATCGGAACAATACTGCTGACGTTTAGACGTGCTTTCTTGGACTATATTCTATATGAAAAAATAACTTTTTTATCCAAGACAAATAGCAAACACAACCAGTTTGTATACGTACAGTCCTTAACCTCCGATCTTTTGTTAACTAAGTCGTCCATTGGAAAGGAATAATGAAGTTGAATAACATTTTCTGATGCTCGAGATTTTCGCATTGGAAAATAAATCAATGCAAAAAATGTTCGTGAAACTGATGACAAACTCTCCCGTCTTTTTAATAAATGATATCAATTAACGGACACATTTAAACCATTGTGGATACGTTTGTTCGGCAATAAGCAAAATATGTCAGACTTATTTCGATCTTTATGATATAATTATATTGTTTACTAATGTAAATTGTTTTAGGAAAATCTGTGTGGACTTTCAAGAAAGTTTATCAAGTCACCGGAACAGGATATAGCTATTATGTCTTCTATTATTGGAAATGCTTACCTAAAGTATTGACAGAACAAAACAATTAATTTTTAATTGAATAATTTGTTGATGTATTACGCTACAAGTGAAGTTTTGACGTTTGTCGCACCACGTGACTCTCCTGCCAGAGATGTCGAGTTTGACTAATAAACACTTACACACCGAGCATGTCACCCCCTGAAGTATGTACACTGACGTAATCGTAGGTGGAAGTGGACACTTGGTACCCAAGTAGGGCCGTATTTATAGACCCACCTGACTGATCATTATCTCTTCTCCACTGATTTTATATAGATAACGTTTCCCCCAGTATACCACTGAGCACGTATACAGCTTGTGTTTATAGACAGTTGCCAGATATATACTCCTAAAAAGTGTAGAGTGAGAATTGACACGTTTGAGTCATCCGTTCACAGTAGTATCGATCAAGAATATTTTAAGTCACTTGTTCATCGCTTTACTTCTGAACCAGTTTAACGGCTCATCGCTCTGCAAAGAGAGAATTGAAACTTTGAAATAAATAGCGTTCCTAGTGAATGCTTTGCAGCATTGTGACGTGATTTGATCAAGGGATGACCGCACTTCTCAGTTAACATTTTATGCATTAGTAGGCCGTTAACCGTCTCGCTTATGAGTCAACCGTAAGTGTTTTGTTTATGAGTTAACCGTTGTCAACTTTTGCAGGATTTCACTGTTGAAAATATTGTTTCTGAGTTAAACATTAACAGGTTTTACATAAGTCAGTCGTCAACCGTTTTCTGTATGAGTTAATACTTAACCCCTTTTGAAACGGCGTAACCGGTTGCGGCTCTTCGTAGAGAGGACTGACATTTTGTCTCAATTCTTTATCACTTTGCAGTGTGATACAATTGCTGTTGCAGAGTTTGCCGCTTTGAATAAAAAATGTTTTCTAGGTGTGTTTAATAAAGTTAAGAGTTAATTGTTTGCCACCATGTGGAACTTTTAAATCGGAACTCTACACTGTAAATCTGCTGCTCTCGAGGCCACGTCTTTCGTTGAATTACGTAATTCATCAATATCAGATGCTACCGCAGAGAGTCTTTACGATAACGGTTGATTTCCCTATCCGTCACCAATTCTCCTCGTAACGTTCAACTCTGTTAATATTGAAATGTGTTGAAATTTGTTGTTGGTACATATGCAACACATAATGCGTCCATTATTGTTGCCAGGGCATGTAAGAAATTGGTTAAACAAAATATAATACGTGATAAGGTCCTAATTCATGTCGATATCAAAAAGACAAAATGGCTGCTACATCTGTTTTCATTGGCAACTTAAGCGATGTTTTAGCCCGAGGTTGACCATTTCAACAGTAGATGCACAGATTGATTATGTAGACATGTGGCTTTAAGGTTTTGACTGTTGTGTCACACTCATGGGAAATGTTTCTGAATTTGATTGTAATATTAGAGGCCTGCTTGCTGTAATGGCTCCTAAAAGGCCAGCAATACCACACATCGATAATAGGCGTACAGTTTTCTCCCTGTAAATTCAATCATTCGTCAAAAATGAGTATTAAAAAATAAGCAATTCTCAATTTGATTTAATGCTTAAAAGCTAAAATAACAATTCAGTTTGTCCATGTCAAGCCGAGGGATATTCAATTAAAACCTGCATCAACGCAACTCAAAGTCCTATTGATAACGACAATAAAACAACGCTGATACGGTCTTAAACCTGTTGAAAGGTAGTCACACGCAGTGTCACGTGACCAATATATACTTTATATAAGAAAAGTGTTAAAACAAGCGA